TGACGGAGGCAGACGCTTTGATGTCACTTTCGGAATTTAGAAAAGGTGAGAAGCGGAAGCTCCGGAGTGAGAAGTAGCTTCCTGGTCGTCGTAATTTCAGAACGCGATCCAAAACCGCCATGGGAGGGACTAAAAAGTCAAGTCCTTTTGGATTGCACAGAGAGAGAGAGAGAGAGAGAGAGAGAGAGAGAGAGAGACAGAGAGGGAGGGAGTTTAATGAGTTCCGGGAGGGCAGAGGGGCGGTGGTGGGTTTTAGGCGCGCCACGGCACGTGCAATAAAATCTAGAGCGCTCTCCAGTCCACGATAACGAATGTCAAAAAGTGCACGTGCAATAAAATCTAAAGGTTGGTAGTTGAAATATTATTTAAAAGTTAATTAACGTGTTTATTTTTTATTGATTACATATTATTTAGTTTGTAAATTTAGTTTAAAAATTTAGTCTCTTAGCAAAATTCCTGAAATCAGGTTTTTCCATTGCGATTTTAGATAATTCGGTTACAAATTACATGCAAGAAAACAAGGGAAAGTTATGAAGGGAACAAAATTTCTTTCTTTTCATTACCAACTGATAAGTGAACGAGCCCTTAATGTTCTTTGGATTCTACTTTCAACTAAAAATCTTTAAATCAATTACACATGGGATCGGCTACAATACTACATCTCACACATTATTCACTCTTTATTGTGCGTAAGAATGTGTAAGTTCGAATTTCACGGAGGCAAACTTGTGCAGCTTACCCAAATTCCTCACCCCTAGAGAGTTTCTCTTTTTTGAAACCATTTCATAGTCTCAGTGCCATTTCCCGACGTATCATTGCTTACCATGTGTTCAAAGAGTACACGTATCCAATGAAAAACTGCCATGTGGACCCAAAATTACAACTACACATTCCAAGGAGACAAATAACCTGCCTTAGCAATACTGCTTCATTGAGTGTGGCTCCAGCTGATCTCAGAAAAAGCCCCTCAATATCTCAATCTTATGAATTACATGAAACTCCATAGCCTTCATTATAATGAAAATTGCAAGCATGCAGCAGTTACTAATTTAAATTTCACGAAAGGGTGAAAATGAAATTACATCAATCAAAAACCACTCGAACAAAGCACTAAATCAAATCGGAATACGGTACGATCTTACAATACATGCCTATCGTTTGAGGGTGATAAGAACAAAATACAAAATCAAATACACGTGCAGTTATACAAAGGTTGTCATCGCTCAGCTACATGTGGTCAGCCCTGCCGTCATCCTCACTAATTCCATCGCCTGCGTGCCTGTAGCGAGATCGAGCAAACAAAGCTAAGATGAACAATGTCCAAGAAGTACGGTTCCCAACTATTTTGAATGCAATCGCTACTAGATGATCACTTAAGATGAGCCTTAACCCAGGGTTTCAAAATTTCACATCCTTCGTTATACATGACAACGGTGGGATCGGCATGTCATTACTGGTAAATTCTGTGCATTTACTGACCGGTCAACACAATATGATCTCATGGAAAATGTAACCATCCATAATTTCTTTTAAATTAAACCACCTACGAAATGAAACACAAGGCAAATAGCCCTACTTTGATTTTCAACATCATCGAAAATTTATCTCTCCACCATTTCTCATCACTCTTCAGTTTTCTTTGGAAAGAAAAGCTTATCCTAGTCTTAGTTTAAAGTGGATAGAACAAAAAGAAGAGGCTGAGAACATACCGCCAAGATGTTGTTAGATTGCGAGCTTTTCTATCCAATTGGAGATTTTCCATTGCACTTGAAGCTCGAATGACATCCTCAGGACTTTCATCACTGTCATACCTATAGTTGTAGTCATCTTTCCTGTAGCCAGACATGGAGGACCCACCTCTTCGATCTGAATATGCTAGAATGCATCAGATAAAGAGAAACAAAAGGAAGCACGTCAAGGGAAGACACAAGAAATAGCTTTGTCACTCACCAGTTGACTGGGAAGATGCACCAGGCCTAAGTATAAACACACAAACAAACTAATATCAATTAAGAGTTGAAGGAAAAAGGAAAATGAGACAAAAGCAATCACAAAATATTGGATAGTGATGTAGGTTCAGCACCTTCCTAGTGGAGGTAGCCCTCCTGCAACAGATGACGAAGAAGGTCTTCGCATGTTCCGAGAATCTAAATTGGATAAGGACTCCGTTTCTGAAGTAGTTAGCCTCCTTCCAGTACCCCTTGCTTGAGATAAATTCTGCAGTAAAACGATCTAATGGTAAGCAATCTGCTAAAGGAACAAAAACATGCAAACAATAAGCTAAAGGAATTTGTATTTTTGCTTCATTAGCAACCCAGGGTGATATCATCCCCTTTCTCTTTTGGCTGGGAAACTTTTTCCCATGGTCAGTTGAACCTCTGAATTGTATATTAATCCCATCCTATAACTGACCAATAGGTTTAAAGAAAAGGGAAAACGTGCGGGCAAGTATAACAGAGAACATATCATGCAATCTGATTCTTAACTAATCTGTACTATGTCCAGAGAACTCACACATATTTATTTATTTATTTTTTGTCGAACTAACACACATTTATTGAAGCGATGTCTTGGTTACGTGATAAAACATAAAAATCAGTTAAATGTACCTTGAAGCAAATAAAACATCGCCACGAAAGACAACAGTCCTAATGCAAATACTGAAATGAAATTGAAAATTTTGTGTTTTAACTCAGACAAAATCAAACCTCAAATTTCAAGAACCCTTCAAGCACGTCCAAAAGCAAAGGACAGCTATCTCCATTTCGGTTCAGATCATACCCATTCTTGCTACTAAAGTCCTTCAACTCAGCTTTCCAAGAATCCTTTTGCTGCGATTCAGCAAAAACAAAATCAGCAATCATTAGCATAAGAAAGCAACATATTACTTCAAACTTTTTGCAAAAAGCCGACACTTTCTGCACTCAAAATTATACATGATTACCAAATTACACTCGGGCTGGTAAACTTTTAGCGTATGGTTTAGTTGCGCCCAGTCTAGGTATTCGCATATCAGTGCCGTCAACAACCTTCCTATAACAAGCATGCCAAAGTGAAATTCAGCCGATAAGCATAAAAACCGAAAGGAAATTAACTTTCTTTAAGCGTGGGATAAGTAGAAGAACCTGAAGGGGAAGCGTGGAGCTGTTTAGCGCGATCGTTGCAGCTACCAAGCAATGCCGGAGGCAAGCCTTCGTCTTTCTCAATGACCTTGTCCTCCTCCTCAATTGCCTCAAACACACTTGCTCTCAACTCAGCCTACCAAAACAAAACAGTTGAATTAATCAGAAAACAAGCCGAAAACCCGAATAATAAGTTTGATTATTCACAAATCACAGCCTAGTTATTCAAAAAACGGATCACATTTCTCAAAATCCGAAGCTTCAAATTACAGTTAAGCAAATACAAAGCAACGAGCTTTGAAATTGCAAAACCCTAGCCGAAGTCAACAAAGCTGGGGGACATATACTCAATTAACCCGAGAAAAAAAAAACCGCGTTTTTGGGGTAAAATCAGCTGCGGAATCACAGAAAGGAGATCGAGATGTCGAACATTAAGAAAAAGGGGGAAATGGGAATGGGCGAAAAAGGGAATTTGAAATTGTACCCGGATCTTGGCGAGTACGCCCTTCTTCTCGAGGGTGCGAGTGACGAGAGTCTTGAGGTCCATCATCTCCCTCGTGTAATCGTCCATCTTGCTCTTCTGGTTTTCAGAGGGAGAGGGTTTTGATTGGTGAAGAGAGAGAGCGAGTGAACTCGCTTTCTCTGCGTTTTGAATTTCTCAGCTTTCCTCGATGTTTGGATTCTTCAGAGAGAGTGAGAGGAGAGAGGGGAAAGTTGCTCTCGGAATGATGGTGGTCACTGGGATGAAGGTGGGCTCCACTGCAGGCTTGCTGTTACCCTGGCAATTTCATCTGGGCTGGCAGCTGTGAAATTCGAAATACGATGTTTTGGGCCGTTATTGTATTAAGCCTGTGAGTTCTTTTCTGGCCCTTTATCAGCCTGCTAAATACCCTTTTTGTTTTGTCTCGTTCATCACGTGATTCGTTGTAACTGAATATAATTTTTGAAGAAAATTAAGGTTCTATTGTAAAAATAATTGGTAATATGAGGTTCCAATTACTTATAAGTACATCAAAGTTCTTTTCTTTTTTTGATGTGGAATTGATATTCTCAACACGCTACGACGAATTTTAAAGCCTAGTATATGAACAATACAAATCAGATGATATAGAGAGCGTGGCGCCGTTAGACAACTCAAATTCGTAGAAATTTTTTTTTCACCAGTTTAGAAAGAAGCTACAATTTTCTATTTATTCAGTTCATGTCATTTGAAACTTGATAGAATTTTCACTCCTTTAGAAAGAAATTATACTCTTTTGTTTATTCAATACACGTCATTCGAAACGTACAAGAATTTTCACCACTTTATAAAAACGTTATGCTCTTTTGTTTACTTAGGAATGTCATTCTATCCATAGCCGAATTGTCACATCCCGGCCCGGAGGGAATCACTTCTCAGGACCCGCTCCACCACCATAGCACGATATTATCCGCTTTGGGCTTACCATTCCCTCACGGTTTTGTTTTTGGAAACTCACGAGCAACTTCCCAGTGGGTCACCCATCATGGGATTGCTCTAGCCCCCTTCTCGCTTAACTTCGGAGTTCCTAAGGAACCTGAAGCCAGTGAGCTCCCAAAAGGCCTCGTGTTAGGTAGGAATGAGATTATACATATAAGAATCACTCCCCTGGACGATGTGAGATGTTACACGAATTTTCACGCTTAAGAAAGAATCTGAGACTTCAAAAAGAAAAAGAAAAGTATCAAATTCTTAGTAAATAATGTAAAAACTTTACCTTATATATGCCGGTGTATGATTTTCTTCTCCCTCCAAAATGTTGAAAGGCAAAGCCAAAATAATGGAAATGGATCATCCTCGAGTCTCTTTCATCAAATCCATCAAATCAATAATTCCAGACCTTTAAAATCTTATCTAAAATGTTGAAAGGCATAGCCAAAATAATAACCAGAAAACTGAAGAAATATTGTTTATTGCTCTCTGTCTATTTAAATTCCTTATTTGTCCGTTTCCGGTTCCACGCTCTAAAGCCTAAGCATTTCCCGATGGCGCCCATCGACCCTCACTCGTTTACTGACTCGACTCACCCACTCGCCACCCATATTTCCCTCTCCTTCTTCTTCGACTTCCCCTCCTCCACCATCCACGCCTCCGCCCTCCTCACGCTCCCCGCCTCGTACTCCGGCCCACTCTCCCTCGACATCCGTGCCCTCACCGTCCACTCCGTCATCGACCCCCATAAGCCCTCCCGTCCTCTCTCTTACGTCATCTCCCATCCTGACCCAATCAAAGGCTGCCACCTCACCTTCACCCTCTCCAACGCAGCCTCCGTCTTAATACTGTACTCCACCTCCCCCTCCTCCTCCGCCCTCCAGTGGCTCTCCCTTCCCCAGACCTTTAACAAGACGCTGCCGTTTGTCTACACCCAATGCCACGCCATCCACGCGCGCTCCGTGTTCCCCTGCCAGGACACTCCCGCTGCGCGTGTGCGCTACGCGGCCAAGCTCAACGTCCCCCGCCAGCTCTCCGCCGTCATGTCCGCGCGTCACGTCTCTCGCCGCGACCCGATCGCCGGCGAGGGGTCGGCGCTGGTCTCCGGCGACGCCTTGTGGTGCTCTGAGAACAGGGTCGTTGAGGAGTTCGTCATGGAGCAGCCAATCCCGCCGTACCTGTTCGCGTTCGCCGTCGGTGAGCTGGGGTTCCGGGAGGTGGGCCCTAGGACTAGGATTTACTCTGAGGCGGTGCCGGCGGTGCTTGAATCGGCGGCGACGGAGTTCGCGAGCACCGAGGACATGATCAGGCAAGGGGAGGCCTTGTTTGGGCCGTACGTGTGGGAAAGGTTCGATCTTTTGGTGCTGCCCCCGAGCTTCCCGTACGCTGGAATGGAGAATCCGAGAATGACGTTCGTGTCGCCGACGGTGCTCAAAGGCGACGCCAGCGGCGCGCAGTTGGTGGCGCACGAGCTGGCTCATAGCTGGACTGGGAACTTGATCACCAACAAAACTAATGAGCATTTTTGGCTGAATGAGGTACTAAATTTACACATTCACTGGTTCAACTTTTCGGGCTTCATATCGAAAAATTCACACATAGATGTTGTTTGTTTTGCATATTTGGGTGATGCCAAGTTCATAACTGATCAATTCCATAACTTCAAGTTGCTTGTGTTCTTCATTTGATGTAATACTACCTGCATACAGTGCGTTTGAGGTCAGTTTCCAGTATGTATCTTGTGAAAACGCAATGTGATGCCGCGTTGTTTTAGATGTAGTTCAGTTTTAGAAAGGAAACTAACGAAAAATTAAAAAAAACTTTAGTTTTAATGAAAAAAGACAAATAAAGGTGTAGGGAATGGTACCAGGAAAGGTAAAAATGTGGTTTTTCGTTAAAAACTGAATAATACTGGAAGTGTTTCGTTAAACCTCCCTTTTAGAAGCATAACGCACTAGGATGTTTGTATAATTCTGGGTTAGGAGAATGTGAAGAATGTCTTACTGATTTACGAGCTTCCGGTTGTAGTTGATATCATGGTGTTAACATTTACTTATTGCTGCAGGGTTTCACGACATATGCTGATAGGAGAATTGTTGAGGCTGTGCAAGGCGAGGACAGAGCTGCATTGAAGATTGGAATCGGCTGGCGGGGTTTGCACAAGGAAATGGAGAGGTTCAAGGATAGCTTGGAGGTCACAAAGCTGAAAACCAACCAGGAAGGAGTTGATCCAGATGATGTGTATTCTAGAGTTCCATATGAAAAGGGTTTCCAGTTTCTATGGCGCATCGAACGTCAGGTATGTTGAAGTTGTAACTTCTTTTGTTTCTTGATATTGTTCTGTAAAGACGATCTGATTGGCACTTGTTTTTCGGAATATAAAGGTTGGAAGGCCTGCGTTTGATGAGTTTCTGAAGAAATACATTGCCACCTTCAAGTTCCAGTCAATTGATACCGATACATTTCTCGAGTTTCTGAAGGCAAACCTACCTGGAATAGAGAAAGAGGTTGACTTAGTGTTGTGGACTGAGGGCACTGGTATCCCTCCTGATGCGTATGAACCGGTTTCTAACATATATGCAAAGATTGTGTCCATGGCAAATGAATTTAAGCTTGGTAAGTTGCCGGGTGAGGATGAAGTTGCTGACTGGAGAGGGCAGGAGTGGGAACTCTACTTGGAGAACCTCCCCAAGCCTGTTGAACCTTCACAGGTACTTATTTTCTATGACTTGATTCCATAGCGGCCTTCAACACGCGTAGTTACTTAATTTCTTAGCTCCTGTGACTTGATTTGCAGATTGTAGAGTTGAACTCGCGCTTCAGGCTGGCAGAATCGAAAGATTATGACGTGAAGGTGACATTTCTTCTGCTGGCCATTGCTTCCAAGTGCAAAGACTACTTGGGCGAGGTGGAGAGAACTTTGAAGGAAGTTGGGAGGAAGACGTACCTTGTCCTCCTCTACAGGGCTCTTGTGGAAGGCAATGGAAATGAAGAAGAGAAGATTCTGGCCAAGCAGGTGTTTGCAGCCGCTCGCGAGACTTACCACCCTATAGCTCAAGGCGGTATCGAGACAATTTTAAACAAGCACTGCTGAAATTGTGTGTGAGAATGTAGAGTACACGAACCGCAATCTGGAAGCCAATCCTTGACTTCGTTGTTGGCTACGTCCTAATCTCTGAGATCTGTAGGCTGTGCATCTTTGTTGATGCTTCTGCTGATGTGAATGATCTCGTAAATAAAATGTAGCTGACTTTTGTATCTCGTTTGCTGATGCCTGATGATATTTTATGTGTAAATTCGAAAATACCAATCAAAGCTATGCCTGCAAAATCAATTTTACTCGATGCATGACAGGAACGAAAATACTCATCGAGACTCGCTTTCGTAGGAGGATTTCAATTTCTATTATATCATGAACATGTCCATTTACAGAAGCAAATAACTCAAGAGTTGTTGGAATCAACGGACTTCCGGTATTCACTTATGATTTCTACACAGTTACCACCAAATCTGTCTAAAACAGTGAAATTGCACTTCTCCCGATCCATGGCAAAGCCATGGAGCTTGGAGATCTTGACATTTCTGTTCAACACCTCTTCTAGTGGAGTTTATCGTAATGGGAATCATACACATCAGTAAAATCATCTTCTGTACAGAGTGCTAGAACATTTGTGTACCCAGTAATTGTTTCGCATCTCAACTCTTCTAGAAAACGTTGCAAAAAACTGTGCGAATAGAATTCGCTGAAGGACAGGCGCTTAACTGCAGTAGTGCATCAGTACGTCAGAGAATTACTAAACATAATGTATAGCGAGTTTTGGCGAAGTACAATAATAATATGAAAGTGAGGCTGGTAAAATGCTAAACCTGGATTTGGAGATAACAGTTTTGAACACATATCGACCGAGTCAGGATGCAATCTAGAAAGGATGACTTGGTCGAAAGGAAGGTATGTGGATGACTTGATGGTCTTAAGCACCTGGAAAGTAAATTTATCAAAGATTTGGCCAAGCATGACTAAAGGACCTTTTCCGACAAAAAGTGGGAAGTTAGTACCTGAACATTAGTCCTACCAGGGAAAGGAGGGCGACCATTGAGAAGCTCGAAAAGAATTACGCCAATACTCCACATGTCAACCTATAAACTGAATCCGTCAATTTTGATTCATCGTGATTGAAAGGGGAAAATGACACAAGTTATAGACAAGACCGTACCTTCCCATCATATCTTTCAAACTGAAGAACTTCAGGTGCCATGTACAACGGGGATCCACAAACTGTCTCCGCATAATCACCTGGATGTAAACTTCTGTACACGGTAGCAAAGATAAGCTAATAAGGAACGAAACCACCACAGTTGGTTGCTTTAAATCATACTAAATACATCCTAAACCGGGTTAGCGGATGAATTTCCGCATATGGATCTCTCTGCTAGAGTTTACCTTGAGAGACCGAAATCAGCTACCTTTAGCACCACATCATCTTGAGTGCCAGAGAGAAGAATGTTCTAGTAATACAAAATACAACAATTCAGCCGATTTACAGAATTCTGATAGAGATTTACGATTCAATTCCACATTTAAGGGTGCAATGCAATCCGAAAGGATCGAAATCAATCAATATACATTCAATTTGTATAATAAATCCAATCGTTTAGCATAGATTTCAAGATCTCTAATTGCATTTTGTTACCATCTTTCCATAAACTCTTGTTTTTACCTCCGGTTTCAAGTCTCGATGAATGATGTGGCTGCGAATGTAGTAATTTCAACGCGGCGCCTGCAACCAAAACAAGAATTTGATTATATTCAGACCGGAGAATCAAAGCGGCCTGAAGCCCTAGTACAGGTAAAGATGCAAAAAAGTTAAGAAGCTACCAAGCTGCTGCATAAATCTCTTGGCAATCTGTTCTTCAACTCGCCCGTGCTGCCGGATATAAGCAGCCAGATTTCCCCCATCACAAAACTCCAACACCATGAATATGCAGCTTTCATCCTGCAATGAACATATAAGCTTGACTTCACGAAATCAAATTGAGCATGTAAGAAACAGTCCTCCACCTTGAGGAGGCGGATGATGTTTGGGTGGAAAGCATTGAGGAGGCGAGGAGGGTGATTGAGAACCTGGAAAGCATTGAGGAGGCGGATGATGTTTGGGTGGTTAACGGAGGATAAGAAATTGAGCTCGCAATCCAAGCAGTTCTTGAGGTGGCGGTTGAGGCGGGAAAGGTGGACCTGCTTGAGAGCCACCACCTTGCCGCTTTGCCGGTGCACGGCTTTCCAAACGGTGGAGAAAGAGCCTCGTCCCACCTCTGATATCACGACATAGTCCCCTTTGAGTGCGGAGACAACTCCCTTGCTTTCGGCTTCCATAGAATCTTTCAGCTAACAAGTAACAAGCGGTTCTATTTATTTTTAGGGAGTTCTATGGAAAATTTAGAGTGTCGTTCATTTTAACGAAAAATTATATTTTTACATTAAAATGTTAATTTTGGTATTATTCACTCTATTCTTTATTTTATTGTTACCATTAAAACTTAAAGTTTTCAAACCTTTTTCATTAGTTTTCCTTTATTTTTATTTGGTGGAAGGTTCCGGTGATTATATTGTGATTACATTTCAGTACCTTTGGATTCGTTTGCAAGTGATTTTAAAATGGATAAAGGCATTTTTTATAAAAATGTTCTTAAACTAATTCTTTGTAAAATGCAAGTAATCTTGAAAAAACATTTGAAATATTTCTTAAAAGAAGCATATAACCGTTTATTTCAAAAAACACTTCAAATTTTAGAATTAAGAAATATTTTTTCCAAAAACGCATTTTCAAATGAGCTATGCTGAAAATGATTAGGCAATCACCAACTTTTATTTCTTTTCTTTATTTTTTTAATCGATGACAGACAAAAAACACTTGAATTTTTTTATTTTTTTTTTATTTTTATCAAAGGCAATATACATTACCAACAACAAACTTTACAACACAAATGATCAAATTTTACAACAAAAAGGCCCAAAAACAAAAGCACAAACAAACAACAGTGGCCCAACCAAAAGTTGAGACCGAAACAAAAGAAAACTCAAAACAGCTGATTCTGCTGCAACCACCAAAACAGTAGCCATATATGTAGATCCACACAAATTCCTGCCCCTAATTAAGCGTCGTCTCATCGATACTAGCATTCAATCCCAAGATTCACTCCTAGCACAACTACAGACAATAAATAACCTACAACCAATTGAAAGAAGCTCGTGGGATTCCACAAGCAACACTGCCAACAAAGCAAACAACAAAGAGAAGGTGGTGGTGCAAGGAACATTTGATCCAATGGAAGCACCAGATCTATACTCACCAGCTCAAAACACCACAACAAATTGCGACAAAGCGTGACTGAAGCTCGGAAATTGGATGAATATGGATGAATATAGATGAAAGATGTCACAAGGGTGAGAAGAAGGCAAATCAGCCAAGAAAACCAAGGAAAAAAACAGCGGATGGGAGAAGAGAAATCTCAAACGGGTTGATATTTATGTCACTACATAAACAATCTCAAACGGGTTGATATTTATGTTGTGTGAATTGTGAATTTGGAGTGAGTGCTGACATGCTCAAATAAGAGAAATATCCTATTTTTACTTCAAATTATCAAGAATTTTACAACTAGTATTCAAATACATTCAGCTTCACCGTGATTCTTTCCTGAGCATAATTTGCTAAACGTGCTTTTATTAAAAGCATGTCAACACCAAATGTTTCTCATAAAATGGTAAACAAACTCGTCATTTAGAGAAGTCGAACTTTTAAGTCCTCCAATATTCAAGTAAAGGAACTTTTTAAGTCCTCCAATATTCAAGTGAAGGGGAAGCGAAAAAATCCGTAACCAAAACAGAGTTCACATGTTGGATTTTGTAAAATTCCTCTCCTCCTTCCTCAAGCCTGCTACCGAATCCACGAGTCACCATTTTGATGGTTAATTCCTTGAGGGTAGTAACATACCAAAGGCCGTCTGGAACTGTGCAACCTGGAGAGACTAGGCATGGCTCGTTTCTCCACCCTCCACTCCTTTAATTCTATCAAGCTGTGAAGAGAAAGGAACTCAAGACGAGGAAAGCCTCCTGCTGAGCAAACAAGTGGTCCGGGAAAATAGCCGAGGGCAGCATTATTATCCAGGAAAAGCATTCGTAAGCTTGGCAGCTTCTCTAGTATTTCTATGTTATCGTCCTTGAGACGATCGTGATGAATTCCACAGAGTGTTAGCTTTGTGAGGTTTGGAAGCAACAGGAGGTCTTCTGGTAACTGTCTGATACGTCCCTTTACTCGCAACTTGTATATACGAGGGCAGCTTAATACTAAGTTCCATGCTCCATCATGAAAAGATGCCGTTGATAAAGACTGCAGATTGTCAAATGTAAGGCTCCCTTTCTCGATGGTTTCGTTGCCAAATAGCGTTACCTCCAATCTTCGAAGGTTGGTTAAGTTAATAAAATCATACAGATCAGATGCCGAAACTGAAACATTGACCACCGTCTGCAAATTACTTGCATGAGTGGCAAATGACAGTCTCTCTCCTCTTATTATCGAGGGTAAATACACATGTCTCAGTTTCTCCATCTTCCAAAACACGTTTGGAACTTTCAGCAGCAACCCTGCATGAGCGTTAGTGCCGCGTAAATCTAGAGTTTGCAGACATACCAAATTACCTACAGACGATGGAAGCTCTTGCATCTTAGTATTCCTTAGACTTAAAAATCTTAAGTGGACTAGATTCTCAATTTCACCTGGTAACTTGAAGCTTATTCTCATGAAAATATCTTCAAACTTCAAAACTCTGAGAAGTTTGTAGCTATTTAACACTGACCGTAGTACTCTTTGGCCGAAATTTAGGTTCAAAATAAACTGTTTTGGGACAAAGAAAAGCATAGACCTAAGATGTCTATCTCTTTCATCTCTATTTAGATAATAAAAATCAAGCTCCTTTTCCAAATTGATGGCAAGTCCTTGAACTACTACCGCTCGGTGTTTCCTTGGTTACCGTGGCTGCAGAGTAATTGATAATACGAAGAATGTTCCCTTCTTTTGCCTTGACCATACACAAATCTCGCATAAGACCATGGAGACAACAAGTCTTAATCTTCCTTGTTAAACCATGTTGTCCAACTTGAACCATAAACCTCTCTACCAACTCACTTAAGCACCTGTAAGATACATCTTCCATTTTTTCCATGGATGTTAATGATACAAAACCTTAAGCCATCCATAGTTGAGTCAATCTATTCACCGGTATTTCATAATCTTTCGGAAAATGGGCTAAATAGAGAAAGCATAGTTTCAACTGATATGGTAAGTTATCATAACTCAAAGCCAATAACCATAATACACCACCGTATTCTTCACCTTCGTATTCAGGTCCAAGGTTTGTGCCTCTCCTTATGTATGCATAGAAATTTATATGCACCATATCCCACTCATCAACGGAGTCTTTTCTAGATAGAAGTCCTCCAAGCACAATGATGGCAAGTGGCAAACCTTCACAATGTCGAAGCATCTTCATTCCTAGATCTTTCTTCTTTGCATAAATTTCAGGGTCTGAGAAACAATATTAAAACCAGATCATTTAACTACCTATGTTTCTCGGGAACTAGAAATTGGAACTATACAAATAACAAATTATTTCTATGCTAGATCAAGGGTACAGTAAATTCTTGAATCTGCGGTGTTATTTGATATTTCGTTATTCCATACAAACTCTAGTGTCAAATGAAACGATATAATCCCTATTCAATTGATAAATAATAAGAAAAGTAGAAATAAAAGCTTTGTGTGAGAAGAGAACATACTTGTATCTTCCGTTTGAAACATTGCTATCTTCTCAAACAGTTCCCAACTTTCATCTTCATTCAATGACAGCGGTTGGTAGATGAAGCCATTTTCATCTGCACAGTAGGCCACTTCTTTGTTGCGAGTGGTGAGTAATATTTGGCTCTCAGTTTCCTCATCATCGGAAAACCAGCTTGTAAAGAATTCCACACATCGCATGTCCAAATGTCGTCAAGCACCACCAAACATTTCCTTTCTTGTTGCTTAGTACAAAGCCTCTTTGCTATCTCGTCCTCATTGAGTTTTGCAATTTCTTGTCTTTCCTCATTGGTAGAACTGAGTTGATTTAGAAGCTCTTCCAAAACTTCTCTTCCATGGCATTGTTGAGATACACACACCCAAGCAAAACAGTCGAAATGACACCTCACTCCATCCTGATTATAAACTTGTTTTGCAAGCGTGGTCTTACCCAAGCCACCCATTCCCCATATAGAAACAACTCGATGATGTTTTTCTTTGATCAAATGCACAACCAATGTCTCTATGCCATCGGCACACGCAACCACATTAGGTTCAATTGCATAAGGAAAAGATCGCCTCCGCTCTTGTTGCCTCTGGAAAGAAGTGTCGCCTCCACTCTCCCTCATCTCTTGTAGGTTATAACTTGGCAAACTTAACCTTAATTTTGAAATTTTAGTCGTAATTTTCTCAATTGCCGAGCCAATCTTGTGAAGATGAACTCCTTCTAAGAAGATGCAAGTAAACCTTTTCAGAACGCTTCCTTTCCTCATGGAAGCAACTTTTAAGACAAAAGCTTCAGCGACATCCTCCAGATCATAAGCAGCATCTCTTACGCTTGCGACCCAAGTGCGTACTCCAGCATCATCATGTCCATGTCTTGCATCTGCATCTTTCAGATAACCTTGCATAAATTGTAGCTTGGTTTGTGCAAGCTCAACCTGACCACCTACACCACCCAAGAGTTTCAATTCCGGAATGATAGTCCGTGTGCCGTTCAAGCACCATAAAACAACAGCATCGGCCATATTAATCTCTCTTCTTCAGACGATCAACAACTAAGTTAAGCAGTTTTCCTTTTTCCTCTTATTTTTAGATCCAGGAAATAATGCCACCAAAGAAGAATAGTATAATCCTGCATGTCTGATTCAAACTCAAATTAAATATTTTGCAAAGTCAAATTAATATTTTGCAATTCTTCAACAACAAGCAAAGCACTCGAGATTTCTTAATTTAATCTTACAAAGACTTTATCAAAGTCAACGATATATGATAGTGAAGTTTCCTATGCAAGTTGCCAATTATATTTTGAAGAGGCGGTCAATCCAATTTTATATCTGCCAGCAAAAACCAGTCTGCATAAAATCATCACAAGTAAATTTTCTGCAGGTGGGTGAAATGAACTCTGCGCTAAGAAGTTCCTTTCCTCTGCAGAATGTAGTCCACTGCCGCTTCTACGTTATCCACAATCTACAAAAAGAACAAAAGGGAAGGAACTTCTTAGCGCGCATAGAATTCATTTCACTCGTAACACAATATGCAATCAAATGCAAGTTATAAGTTACTACGCAATTTTTAGACTTGCAGGTGAGAGACTTATCTCCAGTATCCACAACCAAGTATGGTAATGAATCTAATGATATATGCATATCAGTGTACATTATAAGTGGTTCAAATATGCATAAGCACTCCTGTATCATATATTCTGTGAGGCAGGATAGTGTACAGTTCAAGATTCTTTTTAACAAGCGATATTCAACTTTAAATTAAATGTAGTGCCAAGAGTGTTTCCAACTCGGATGCATAGGGGGAGAAATTCGCTATAGCCAATATGGCTACACCCACCCACGTCTGCACACAGGTAGGGTGTTAAACAATTTGAACATGACAGGAATCCCAGTCTCACCTGTTGGAAGATGCTTGCTGGAGAAATTCTGAAAGTGCCCGTTCCAAGTCGCGTGGAAGAAATGCAGCCTGTTTGTGTATAAGCAGGCAGCTGATCTGGATCATTCCAATTATAGTATGACACTTAGAGTTGAAAGAAAAGGGAGTTGATGATGTTACAAAGGACAACAAAAACAAAAAAAATTAATAACCTACGATGTTCTTCAATACAGGAATAGAGCAAATCATCCAAATAGAACCCTTTTGTTAGACATGGAAAATGCATCCACTAGAAGTATAGAACCCTTCTGTGCGTAAGCATACTTTGCTATAAGTGCTTTTATTAGAAGCATGTTGAATTCAAGTGTTGCTTAAAAAGTACTATTTAGATATAGCACCTAGATAATGGATGTTTGCTAACTTCATTTATTTACTCATTAACAAGGGACAGAGTTTCTCACTTAACTCGTTGAGATTACGCATAAGCTGCTTGACATCTGCCTAAAATTGTCGTGCCCAGCCCCATACGTATATGTAAAACGAGGGGAAAAAATAAGAAAAAGAAAAGAGAATTATTATTGTCATTTCAAAATATTATCCTAAAAACGCAACGGAAATTATCTACTCACAGCAGGTGTAATCATAACAGAATGCCCATGTTGGATTTTGTAAAAACCCTCTCCTCCTTCCCCAAGCCTGCTACATAATTCAGGAACCATACTTTTGATGGTCAATCCCTTGATTTTTTTTCCCTGTCACATAGCTTTAACGCCAATTTGGAGTCTGCAAACATACCAAATTGGCTACAGCCTACAGATGACGCCAACTTCGAAAATGTGGTATTCTTTAGACTTAAAAACCTTAAGTAGATTTTGAACATTGAACTTAGATATCTTCAAACTTCAAAACTCTAAAAGCAATTTAACGTAAAAAAAAAAAAAAAAAAAAAAAGAAAAGAATACAAAAAGTTGTGGGAGTAAATGTCCACATGTTGTTAGCCAAAGGTGAGAAAGACTTTAGAATAGTGATCATGTTGGTGTTGCATGAGGTTTTTCAAAAAGCATTCATTTCACCTTTATAAGTTTTGACGGGGTGTGACTTTATTTAAAGAACACTATGTGTATGATCACAATACACAACAAAAAAGAAAAGAAATGAAAGCAATAATATCAATATCTCTCTCTTCCTCTCTTTACACAAAAAAGAAAAGAAATGAAAGCAGTAATATCAATATCCCTCTCTTCCTCTCTTTACACAAAAAAGAAGAGAAATGAAAACAATAATATCAATATCCCTCTCTTCCTCTCTTTACTTGCAATCCTTTTATGTTAGAATTACGAAACTAAATAATATGATAAATTGCACCCGTTTCGCTTCTGTCTCTATTTTGGTAGGGAGATGCCACACTCGACACTCGGGCAATATTGACATTTTGTGTCACCCAAACAAAACACCTCACTCGACCGCCGCTCGCTTTTCCTTCTCACAGGGCTCTCAAAAAACTAATCGCCATCTCTGATTCAAAATTAAGCAAAATCCCCACCGGAAGTTAATAACTTTTATTCAATTCGGAAACACTGATTGCTCCAATTTCCCCCCTTTTTCCATTAATTTGTTCTGTTCATTGAATCGACGTAGCCATGCCGCCAAAGGCATCGAAGGCCGACTTGGCGAAGAAGCAGAAGGTTGCGGAGGACAAAACCTTCGGGCTCAAGAACAAGAACAAGAGCAAGAACGATGTTTGGATTCTTCAGAGAGACTGAGAGAGTGAGAGGAGAGAGGGGAAAGTTGCTCTCGGAATGATGGTGGTCACTGGGATGAAGGTGGGCTCCACTGTAGGCTTACTGTTACCCTGGCAATTTCATATGGGCTGGCAGCTGTGAAATTTGAAATACGATGTTTTGGGCCGTTATTATATTAAGCCTGTGAGTTCTTTTCTGGCCGTTGAGTATCAGCCTGCTAAATACCCTTTTTGTTTTATCTCGTTCATCATGTGATTCGTTGCAACTGAATATAATTTTTGAAGAAAATTGAGATTCTATTATAAAACTAATTGGTAATATGAGATTCCAATTACTTATAAGTACATCAAAGTTCTTTTCTTTTTTTGATGTGGAATTGATATTCTTAACACGATACGACACCTATATATGAACAATACAAATAAGATGATATAAAGAGCGTGGCGCCGTTCGAAAACTCAAATTCTTAGAAAAATTTTTTTTCACCAGTTTAGAAAGAAGCTACAATTTTCTATTTATTCAGTTCATGTCATTTGAAACTTGATAGAATTTTCACTACTTTAGAAAGAAATTATACTCTTTTGTTTATTCAATACACGTCATTCGAAACGTACAAGAACTTTCACCACTTTAGAAAAAAGTTATACTCTTTTGTTTACTTAGGAATGTCAATCTATCCATAGCCGAATTTTCACACTTAAGAAAGAATCTGAGACTTCAAAAAGAAAAAGAAAAGTATCAAATTCTTAGTAAATAATGTAAAAACTTTACCATATATATGCCGGTGTATGATTTTCTTCTCCCTCCAACATGTTGAAAGGCAAAGCCAAAATAAAGGAAATTGATTATTTTCGGATCTCTTCCACCAAATCCATCAAATTAATAAATCCGGAACTTTAAAATTTTACCCAAAATGTTGAAGGGCATAGCCAAAATAATAACCAGAAAACTGAAGAAATATTGTTTACTGCTGTGTGTCTATTTAAATTCCTTATTTGTCCGTTTCCGGTTCCACGCTCTAAAGCCTAAGCAATTCCCCATGGCGCCCATCGACCCTCACTCGTTCACTGACTCAACTCACCCACTCGCCACCCATATTTCCCTCTCCTTCTTCTTCGACTTCCCCTCCTCCACCATCCACGCCTCCGCCCTCCTCACCCTCCCCGCCCCGTACTCCGGCCCACTCTCCCTCGACATCCGTGCCCTCACCGTCCACTCCGTCATCGACCCCCATAAGCCCTCCCGGCCTCTCTCTTACGTCATCTCCCATCCTGACCCAATCAAAGGCTGCCACCTTACCTTCACCCTCTCCAACGCAGCGTCCGTCTTAATACTGTACTCCACCTCCCCCTCCTCCTCCGCCCTCCAGTGGCTCTCCCCTCCCCAGACCTTTAACAAGACGCTGCCGTTTGTCTACACCCAATGCCAGGCCATCCACGCGCGCTCCGTGTTCCCCTGCCAGGACACTCCCGCTGCGCGTGTGCGCTACGCGGCCAAGCTCAACGTCCCCCGCCAGCTCTCCGCCGTTATGTCCGCGCGTCACGTCTCTCGCCGCGACCCGATCGCCGGTGAGGGGTCGGCGCTGGTCTCCGGCGACGCCTTGTGGTGCTCTGAGAACAGGGTCGTTGAGGAGTTCGTCATGGAGCAGCCAATCCCGCCGTACCTGTTCGCGTTCGCCGTCGGTGAGCTGGGGTTCCGGGAGGTGGGCCCTAGGACTAGGGTTTACTCTGAGGCGGTGCCGGCGGTGCTTGAATCGGCGGCGACGGAGTTCGCGAGCATCGAGGACATGATCAGGCAAGGGGAGGCCTTGTTTGGGCCGTACGTGTGGGAAAGGTTCGATCTTTTGGTGCTGCCCCCGAGCTTCCCGTACGGTGGAATGGAGAATCCGAGAATGACGTTCTTGACGCCGACGGTGCTCAAAGGCGACGCCAGCGGCGCGCAGGTGGTGGCGCACGAGCTGGCTCATAGCTGGACTGGGAACTTGATCACCAACAAAACTAATGAGGATTCTTGGCTGAATGAGGTACTAAATTTACATTCACACATTCACTGGTTCAACTTTTCGGGCTTCATATCGAAAAATTCACACATAGATGTTGTTTGTTTTCTTATTTGGGTGATGCTAAGTTCATAACTGATCAATTCCATAACTTCAAGATGCTTATGTTCTTCATTTGATGTAATACTACCTGCATACAGTGCGTTTTAGGTCAGTTTCCAGTATGTATCTTGTGAAAACCGCAATGTGCGAAAGCTTGACGGTGTGATGCCGCGTTGTTTTAGATGTAGTTCAGTTTTAGAAAGGAAACTAACGAAAAATTCAAAAAAACTTTAGTTTTAATTAAAAAAGACAAATAAAGGTGTAGTGAATGGTAGCAGGAAAGGTAAAAATGTGGTTTTTCGTTAACATTGAATAATACCGGAAGTGTTTCGTTAAAACTCCCTTTTAGAAGCATAACGCACTAGGATGTTTGTATAATTCTGGGTTAGGAGAATGTGAAGAATGTCTTACTGATTTACGAGCTTCCGGTTGTAGTTGATATCAGGGTGTTAACATTTACTTATTGCTACAGGGTTTCACGACATATGCTGAGAGGAGAATTGTTGAGGCTGTGCAAGGCGAGGACAGAGCTGCATTGAACATTGGAATCGGCTGGCGTGGTTTGCACAAGGAAATGGAGAGGTTCAAGGATAGCTTGGAGGTCACAAAGCTGAAAACCAACCAGGAAGGAGTTGATCCAGATGATGTGTATTCTAGAGTTCCATATGAAAAGGGTTTCCAGTTTCTATGGCGCATCGAACGTCAGGTATGTTGAAGTTGTAACTTCTTTTGTTTCTTGATATTGTTCTGTAAAGACGATCTGATTGGCACTTGTTTTTCGGAATATAAAGGTTGGAAGGCCTGCGTTTGATGAGTTTCTGAAGAAATACATTGCCACCTTCAAGTTCCAGTCAATTGATACCGATACATTTCTCGAGTTTCTGAAGGCAAACCTACCTGGAATAGAGAAAGAGGTTGACTTAGTGTTGTGGACTGAGGGCACTGGTATCCCTCCTGATGCGTATGAACCGGTTTCTAACATATATGCAAAGATTGTGTCCATGGCAAATGAATTTAAGCTTGGTAAGATGCCGGGGGAGGATGAAGTTGCTGACTGGAGAGGGCAGGAGTGGGAACTCTACTTGGAGAACCTCCCCAAGCCTGTTGAACCTTCACAGGTACTTATTTTCTATGACTTGATTCCATAGCGGCCTTCAACATGCGTAGTTAATTTCTTAGCTCCTGTGACTTGATTTGCAGATTGTAGAGTTGAACTCGCGCTTCAGGCTGGCAGAATCGAAAGATTATGACGTGAAGGTGACATTTCTCCTGCTGGCCATTGCTTCCAAGTGCAAAGACTACTTGGGCGAGGTGGAGAGAACTTTGAAGGAAGTTGGGAGGAAGAAGTACCTTGTCCCCCTCTACAGGGCTCTTGTGGAAGGCAATGGAAATGAAGAAGAGAAGATTCTGGCCAAGCAGGTGTTTGCAGCCGCTCGCGAGACTTACCACCCTATAGCTCAAGGCGGTATCGAGACAATTTTAAACAAGCACTGCTGAAATTGTGTGTGAGAATGTAGAGTACACGAACCACAATCTGGAAGCCAATCCTTGACTTCGTTGTTGGCTACGTCCTAATCTCTGAGATCTGTAGGCTGTGCATCTTTGTTGATGCTTCTGCTGATGTGAATGATCTCGTAAATAAAATGTAGCTGACTTTTGTATCTCGTTTGCTGATGCCTGATGATATTTTATGTGTAAATTCGAAAATACCAATCAAAGCTATGCCTGCAAAATCAATTTTACTCGATGCATGACAGGAACGAAAATACTCATCGAGTCTTGCCTTCGTAGGAGGATTTCAATTTCTGTTGTATCATGAACATGTCCATTTACAGAAGCAAATAACTCAAGAGTTGTTGGAATCAACGGACTTCCGGTATTCACTTATGACTTCTACACACTTACCACCAAATCTGTCTAAAACAGTGAAATTGCACTTCTCCCGATCCATGGCAAAGCCATGGAGCTTGGAGATCTTGACATTTCTGTTCAACACCTCTTCTAGTGCAGTTTATCGTAATGGGAATCATACACATCAGTAAAATCATCTTCTGTACAGAGTGCTAGAACATTTGTGTACCCGTAATTGTTTCGCATCTCAACTCTTCTAGAAAACCTTGAAAAAAACTGTGCAAATAGAATTCGCTGAAGGACAGGCGCGTAACTGCAGTGGTGCATCAGTACGTCAGAGAATTACTAAACATAATGTATAGCGAGTTTTGGCGAAGTACAATAATAATATGAAAGTGAGGCTGGTAAAATGCTAAACCTGGATTTGGAGACAACAGTTTTGAACACATATCGACCGAGTCAGGATGCAATCTAGAAAGGATGTCTTGGTCGAAAGGAAGGTATGTGGATGACTTGATGGTCTTAAGCACCTGGAAAGTAAATTTATCAAAGATTTGGCCAAGCGTGACTAAAGGACCTTTTCCGACAATAAGCGGGAAGTTAGTACCTGAACGTTAGTCCTACCAGGGAAAGGAGGGCGACCATTGAGAAGCTCGAAAAGAATTACGCCAATACTCCACATGTCAACCTATAAACTGAATCCGTCAATTTTGATTCATCGTGATTGAAAGGGGAAAATGACACAAGTTATAGACAAGACCGTACCTTCCCATCATATCTTTCAAACTGAAGAACTTCAGGTGCCATGTACAACGGGGATCCACAAACTGTCTCCGCATAATCACCTGGATGTAAACTTCTGTATACGGTAGCAAAGATAAGCTAATAAGGAACGAAACCACCACAGTTGGTTGCTTTAAATCATACTAAATACATCCTAAACCGGGTTAGCGGATGAATTTCCGCATATGGATCTCTCTGCTAGAGTTTACCTTGAGAGACCGAAATCAGCTACCTTTAGCACCACATCATCTTGAGTGCCAGAGAGTAGAATGTTCTACTAATTCAAAATACAACAATTCAGCCGATTTACAGAATTCCGATAGAGATTTACGATTCAATTCCACATTTAAGGGTGTAATGCAATCCGAAAGGATCGAAATCAATCAATATACATTCAATTTGTATAACAAATCCAATTGTTTAGCATAGATTTCAAGATCTCTAATTGCATTTCGTTACCATCTTTCCATGAACTCTTGTTTTTACCTCTGGTTTCAAGTCTCGATGAATGATGTGGTGCGAATGTAGTAATTTCAACGCGGCTCCTGCAACCAAAACAAGAATTTGATTATATTCAGACCGGAGAATCAAAGCGGCCTGAAGCCCTAGTACAGGTAAAGATGCGAAAAAGTTAAGAAGCTACCAAGCTGCTGCATAAATCTCTTGGCAATCTGTTCTTCAACTCGCCCGTGCTGCCGGATATAAGCAGCCAGATTTCCCCCATCACAAAACTCCAACACCATGAATACGCAGCTTTCATCCTGCAACGAACATATGAGCTTGACTTCACGAAAACAAATTGAGCATGTAAGAAACAGTCCTCCACCGTGAGGAGGCGGATGATGTTGGGGTGGAAAGCATTGAGGAGGCGAGGAGGGTGATTGAGAACCTGGAAAGCATTGAGGAGGCGGATGACGTTTGGGTGGTTAACGGAGGATAAGAAATTGAGCTCGCAATCCAAGCAGTTCTTGAGGTGGCGGTTGAGGAGGGAAAGGTGGACCTGCTTGAGAGCCACCACCTTGCCGCTTTGCCGGTGCACGGCTTTCCAAACGGTGGAGAAAGAGCCTCGTCCCACCTCTGATATCACGATATATTCCCCTTTGAGTGCGGAGACAACTCCCTTGCTTTCAGCTTCCATAGAATCTTTGAGCCAACGAGTAACAAGCGGTTCTATTTATTTTTATTGGGTGGAAGGTTCCGGTGATTACATTGTGATTACATTTCAGTAACTTTGGATTCGTGTGAAAGTGATTTTAAAATGAATGAGAGCATTTTTTTTTTAAAATGTTCTTAAATCTAATTCTTCACAAAATGCAAGTGATCTTAAAAAATCACTTGAAATACTTCTTAAAAAAACATGTAATCGCTTATTTTAACAAAAACGCTTCAAATTTTATAATTAAATTTTTTTTTTTGTTTTTCTAAAAATGCATTTCCAAATGAGCTCTGCTGAAAATGATTAGACAATCACTAATTTTTATTTCTTTTCTTTGTTTTTTTAATCGATGACAGACAAAAAACACTTGAAATTTTTTTTTTTTCATCAAAGGCAATATACATTACCAACAACCAACTTTATAACACAAATGACCAAATTTTATAACAAAAAGGCCCTAAAACAAAAAACACAAACAAACAACAGTGGCCAAACCAAAAGTTGAGACCAAAACAAAAGAAAACTCAAAACGGCTGATTCCGCTGCAACCACCAAAACAATAGCCATGCATGTCGATCCACACAAATTCTTGTCCCTAATTAAGCCTCGCCTCATCGATACCAGCATTCAATCCCAAGCTTCACTCCTAGTACAACTGCAGACAATAAATAACCTGCAACCAATTGAAAGAAGCTTGTGGGATTCCACAAGCAACACTGCCAACAAAAGCAGACAACAAAGAGAAGGTGGTGGTGTGAGGAACACCCGACCCCATGGAAGCACCAGATCTATACTCACCAGGTCAAAACACCACAACAAATCGCGACAAAGCGTGACTGAAGCTTGGAAATTGGATGAATATGGATGAGAGACATCACAGGGGTGAGAAGAAGGCAAATCAACCAAGAAAACTAGGGGAAAAAACAACATATGGGAGAAGAGAAATCTCAAATGGGTTGATATTTATGTCACTACATAAACAATCTCAAACGGGTTGATATTTATGTTGTGTGAATTGTGAATTTGGAGTGAATGTTGACATGCTCAAATAAGAGAAATCTCCTATTTTTACTCCAAATTATTAAGAATTTTACAACTAGTATTCAAATACATTCAGCTTCACCATGGCCCTTTCATAAGCATAGTTTGCTAAAAGTGCTTTTATTAAAAACATATCAACACCAAGTGTTCCTCATAAAATGATAAACAAATTCGTCATATAGAAAAGTCGAATTTTTAAGTCCTCCAATATGATGTTACAAAGGACAACGAAAACAAAAAAAATTAATAACCTACGATGTTCTTCAATACAGGAATAGAGCAAATCATCCAAATAGAACCCTTTTGTTAGACATGGAAAATGCATCCACTAGAAGTATAGAACCCTTCTGTGCGTAAGCATACTTTGCTATAAGTGCTTTTATTAGAAGCATGTTGAATTCAAGTGTTGCTTAAAAAGTACTATTTAGATATAGCACCTAGATAATGGATGTTTGCTAACTTCATTTATTTACTCATTAACAAGGGACAGAGTTTCTCACTTCACTCGTTGAGATTACGCATAAGCTGCTTGACATCTGCCTAAAATTGCTGTGCCCAGTCCCATACGTATCTGTAAAACGAGGGGAAAAAATAAGAAAAAGAAAAGAGAGTTATTATGGTCATTTCAAAATATTATCCTAAAAACACAACGGAAATGATCTACTCACAACAGGTGTAATCATAACAGAATGCCCATGTTGGATTTTGTAAAAACCCTCTCCTCCTTCCCCAAGCCTGCTACATAATTCAGGAACCATACTTTTGATGGTCAATCCCTCGATTTTTTTCCCTGTCACATAGCTTTAACGCCAATTTGGAGTCTGCAAACATACCAAATTGGCTACAGCCTACAGATGACGCCAACTTCAAAAATTTGGTATTCTTTAGACTTAAAAACCTTAAGTAGATTTTGAACATTGAACTTAGATATCTTCAAACTTCAAAACTCTAAAAGCAATTTAACGTAAAAAAAAAAAAAACAAAGAATACAAACTTATTGTTGTAAAAGTTGTGGGAGTAAATGTCCACATGTTGTTAGCCAAAGGTGAGGAAGACTTTAGAATAGTGATCATGTTGGTGTTGCATGAGGTTTTTCAAAAAGCATTCATTTCACCTTTATAAGTTTTCACGGGGTGTGACTTTATTTAAAGAACACTATGTGTATGATCACAATACACAACAAAAAAGAAAAGAAATGAAAGCAATAATATCAATATCTCTCTCTTCCTCTCTTTACACAAAAAAGAAAAGAAATGAAAGCAATAATATCAATATCCCTCTCTTCCTCTCTTTACACAAAAAAGAAGAGAAATGAAAACAATAATATCAATATCCCTCTCTTTCTCTCTTTACTTGCAATCCTTTTATGTTAGAATTACGAAACTAAATAATATGATAAATTGCACCCGTTTCGCTTCTGTTCCTAATTTTGGTAGGGAGATGCCGCACTCGACGCTCGGGCAAAATGGACATTTTATGTCACCCAAACAAAACACCTCACTCGACCGCCGCTCGCTTTTCCTTCTCGCGCACAGAGAGGGCTCTCGAAAACCTAATCGCCATCTCTGATTCAAAATTAAGCAAAATCCCCACCGGAAGTTAATAACTTTTATTTAATTCGGAAACACTGACCGCTCCAATTTCCCCCTTTTTCCATTAATTTGTTCTGTTCGTTGAATCGACGTAGCCATGCCGCCAAAGGCATCGAAGGCCGACTTGGCGAAGAAGCAGAAGGTTGTGGAGGACAAAACCTTCGGGCTCAAGAACAAGAACAAGAGCAAGAACGTCCAGAAGTACGTCCAGAATCTCAAGCAGGCAGTCCAGCCCAAAGTAGACCCAGCCAAAGCCAAGGTCCGATTTATATCTCTGTTGATTTTTCCCCCATTGGGTTCTGTTTGGATACGCAGAAAATTAGCTGAGAATGTAAATTAACTATTTTTATTGGAGTTAGTGTTTGGGTTGGAATTGGGTTTTATCAAATTTTGATGGATTTTGCAGAAAAAGAAAGAGGAAGAGAAAGCAAAAGAGAAGGAGCTCAATGATTTGTTTAAGGTTGCTGTTAGTCAGCCGAAAGTGCCAGCTGGTATGTAGTACTAGTATGTACTCCAACTCTCACATTTTTCCTAATTTTGTTTGGTGATGGTCGATTATATTGTGTTCGATAGCGGATTGGTTTTGATATGCTTGTAATCGAATTGGGAATTTGAATAGGTGTTGATCCCAAGTCTATATTATGCGAGTTTTTCAAGTTTGGGCAATGTACCAAGGGATTCAAGTGCAAGTTTTCGCATGACTTGAATGTCCAGAGGAAGGGTGAAAAGATTGATATTTACAGTGATAAGCGTGATGATGAAGGTGAGAGGATTGACATATCGTGTTTAATGTTCTGATGCTAATTTATCGCACATGTTTTGCTTATTCTAGACTGATTATTTTTCAGACACTATGGAGGATTGGGATCAAGCGACATTGGAAAAGGTTGTGGAGTCAAAGAAGAATGAGTATAACCAGAATAAGCCCACTGAAATTGTATGTTGGTTTTCTTATCGTAAATTGTTTTTTATATCTGACATAGAAGCTTTTAGTGTAATTTGCATTTGAACGTGTTGCTCTCCATCTGTCTTTAGATATTCATCTATCTATCCCTCCTTCCTTCCTCCATACCCACCCTTTAAATGTTTCTGATGATTTAGGATGGAATATGGAGGCATTGCTGGGCATATTACCCATTACATCAATAATATGTTTCATGAGGAGGAAAAAAAAAACGAGGGAGGCACAGTCTTAGTTGCATGGGACATCGGTCTTCTTTTAATACTAGTTTAGGTAATGTAGGTCAGTTTTGCAATCCTTGATCCTAAGGGTTATGTTAAGAGTTAAATTATTAATGTCGTAATCTGATAACTGAAAGAACAAGTCATTGACAATAGGGTATGCTACAACTTTATGCAAGTACATATAGAGTTCAGGTGATCAATTTATGTCTTCTGTAGATAGATTTGGCGGGTGGATACTTTTACTTTTACTCTTTTCAGTTGTTCGTTTACTCTGTTTGGCTGTTTGCGGTGCTGAATGTTACTTAAGACATTCTTGTAAAGAATCTGTAATGTGAAACAATATTTGGGATTTAGTTTGGATTCTCGCTTGTAGGCTATGCTAGTGAGTTAAATTGGGTTGAGTTGTAGAATAATAGAGGCGGAATTATTTTTTGTCTTCGAGATGAGAAAATATAAGCATTAAAAATAGTGACTGGTAGAAAGTAACATGCTTTTTCTAATTTTGGCCATATTCATTTGGTAATGTGAAATCTCTGAATGTAGTTATGAATCTAAGGCGGGCTTTCTATATGTACAGGTTTGCAAACACTTCTTAGATGCAGTGGAAAAGAAACAGTATGGTTGGTTTTGGTCTTGTCCAAATGGTGGAAAAGAGTGCCACTATAGACATGCTCTTCCTCCTGGTTATGTTTTGAAATCTCAGATGAAGGCACTTCTTGATGAGGAGGCTGAAAAAGTTGCCATTGAGGATGAAATTGAAAATCAGGTGATGATCATATTGATTTTGTTGACTTTACGTTTTCATTTTATCCATATGTGTTGTGATAGAGACCTTTTGTACATTTGGAACTATATGTGTTGTATCCCTAAGTACTTTTAGCTTTATTTCTTCAGTTTTGTATGTCTAATTCTTACTGTTGATCATCTGCTGGTTACTGCAGCGTGCAAAAGTAACAACCATTACTCCAATGACCACTGAGTTGTTCATGCAATGGAGGAATAAAAAGACAGAAGAGAAAGAGGCTGGCTTGGCTGCACAACGAGCTGAGAGGGCTAAGAATGACCGCATGAGGTTCTGTTCCTTTCTATTTTTTTTTGCATTTTTGTAAATTTTTTTGTTTTATGCTATTGACTGAAGTTTTCCTGTATTTCAGTGGTCGTGAGTTGTTTCTTTCAGATGCTAGTGTGTTTGTGGATGATGCTGAAGCATATGAAAAATACCAAAGACAAGATCCTGAGGCTTCTGAAGAGAAGGTAATATGTCCCTTTGGTATATGCGTGCGATTGATTTATGGACTGATAGCATACCATTCCATTTTGAAGTCGGTGAAGCCTTAGTATGTTCTTTTGGTATTATTTTGGCTAAAATTTAACTTCCAACATCTCATTGCTGTCTTGTGTGAATATTATTTCTATCTGTGAATTTGCTTCCTTTTTGTATTAAGAGAGGTTTTCGTATCTCAAGTCAGAAAGCTTTTTTGCAGCCAAATAAAATCATTGGCTTACCAACAGAGATAAGAGTCCACATCTGCTCTTTTTCAATCACATAATTTTAATGCTGGGGTTCAGGCCATTCCATTTTGGTTTTGTTGTTGTTTTTTTTTGGGGGGGGGGGGGGGGTGTGGTTTGTAGAATTGACAGTTATTGTAGTAATAACGCTGTGAAAGATGGGTTGAAGGGATCTTTGAACATTCTTATAAGTTCGCCAAGGTAATACCAAAATGTGATTGAAGCTATGCAATAAGATTTTCTGTTGGTAATGTCATGATGTGATTTTTTTTTTTTTTTCTTTCAAATCCTTGTTCTTATCTCAGTTTGTTTTTCACATTGTATCTCTTTGTTGGTTTCGTTTATAGTAGATCATGGTGTGAAGTTTTTTTTCTGGTGAGATCATAAAATTTTGATTACAGATGCATGCATCAAGATCCTTTTAAGGGTTTATACTATGTTTGTCTTAGCCCTTTCTGGTTCTGTCTGTTGCCTTGTTCCATGCATTATAAGCATACTCTCTGACTGACTTCTGTTCTAACCATGAACCGTGTAAAGCGAGCATCTGTGACTCGTAAACTTGTGTTCTTACCGTTAACATACCTACATGTATGTGCACTGTCTTCATGTTAATTGTTGCCATGTTATTTTAGGCCACAAAAATTCTATTAATTGGCTGGTGCTTTGAACTTCCGTAGTTCACTTATGTGATCATATTCATTTCGCTACTTGTTACTTCATTTGTTTGGCCATGAATTATTGTTTGTTCTCCCCGTCTTTCCTGTGATCAAGGAGGTCAAACCTTATAAAACTGGTCATTTTAATTTGTTTCAAAAGTTTAGATTCCTCCTGTTTCAAAGGAGTGGTGCCCTTTTGACTTATAGAAAGTCTATGGGGGGAATCTACGGGACATATGGTGATAAAAACCATTTTCTTCAAAACATGATTTTAACCTTAATACACGCTTTTCGCTTATGCCAAAGAAAATGAAGACATTTTGAGATTGAAGTTTAATGTTGATGTGAAAACACTATGGAGAGAAAATTTCATACTTTCTTAGTAGTGGACGACTTGGTTCACCTTTGTTGTCCTATTTTTTTCATTAATAAAAGTTTGTTTCGTATAAAAAAGACTATTAATCAGTAACTCATGAACCAAAATCTCCGCTTTGGTAATTCCAGTTTTGGCGGACAAGTATTATCGTAACTTTGAAGGACTATGTTTCGCTCATTACCCGAGGAACAAATATTCTGAAACAAGGAGCATTTATATCATGGATGTGCTTTTGTATACAGTGCTTTCCTAAACTCTTAGATTACGTGGTTCAAATAATGTCGCATGGTTCCCATTTACATGGACAATTTATATTGCCTTGACAATTTCCATTTTATTTTGTTATCCGAGTTTGACTGTGTTCCATTTCAGGCCAAAGACAACTCAGCAGCAGGAGGAGGACCAAGCGCCTCTACTAGTGCTGCTGGTTCTGAAGTCCCCGTCAATAATGATAATGAAGACGATGATGATGATGATGACGACGAGTTGGACTTGGATGAGTTAAATGAACTTGAAGCAAGTTTGTCAAAAACATCCATTCAGATACGGGAGCCCGGTATAGAGACATCTTGAAGAGGGGGAGAGAGTACTGTTGACAGTTTGCTTGTTGGGGCTGGGGCCGAAAGAGACGAGATATCGAGAAATGAGAGAGGAAATAATGTATTATTCATCCTGAGATGCTGTCTTTATGCTAAATTCTTGGTGTTCTGGATTTGACTTGGTGTTTTATGCAAGAAAAAAAAAATCCAAATTTTGATTAAGATTGCTGTTCTTACCATCTACTTTGATAGTCTTCTGTATTTTTATAAGTGCATTTTCCTACTGTGCTGAATTGTTAACTTCAACTTTGTTTTTTCAATTTTATTTTTCATAATTATCTACGTGGCATCATAAACCGGACACATGGGCGTTGCATTTTTTTCACAGAAGTTGACGGAAAGGATCATTGCTCCATGTTTTGTTAAATTTAAGGATCAAAATTAACAGATGAAATCTAGATTAGAGTTATAGCTCAAAGGTTAATTCTAAATTTATCTCAAATTAGGCTGTATCTAGTAACCAGTTGCAATTTGGCAACCCCAAAAGTTGATGGCTTTTTTGACTTGCTTGATCAGCCTTTAAAGTAACTTCACTAGAGGCAATAAACAACTGGGATCCAAACTTCCGGTAAAAAAGCTTTAACGTATTCACTTGCTCTGGTGGCTCGGTCCAAAGACCTATTTCAATTAAATTAGAAGACTATCTTGTCCTTTGTTTGGTGAACTTATAAATATTATGGCCGGACGTTTAAAATGAAAAACAGTACAATATATTGTGTCTTATAAATCCTCTTATAAATGACTAGACTCTATAGAACTAACTAGCAAAATTGTCCGCGCTCCGCTGCAGGTTATGAATCAGTAATCACAATTTAACACATTTATTTCTAAATAATTCATCAATATCAGATTTCTAAGTACCAGCAATATACCGTTCATATGATGAGTTTTCCATATGGATTTGACAGTGATGGCTGCTTAATTGGTATCCAAGGTGCAGTAGTAGTTGGCAATGATGTGGCTAAAATGAGAGACTCAAAATCAAGTCATGATTCCTTGTAGCATAAGTAGAAAAGGAGGTGGTGCAATAAAATCTATCACAATTATATGACGTTCTATTTACTTCACATCAAAAGCATATTTACAGTCCAAAGGGGAAATTTCCAAGTTACAATTATACACTTCCAAAAGTCTCGCACATTGATTAGCCATTCATTTTGCACCTGCATTTTACCAACTCTATGTTAAAAGTTCTATGTACAACCAAAAAAGCATATTTGAACGACTATTGCCTTGGGCTCATAAAAAAATCTTTTGTTCTATATTGTTACATAGAACTTCAGTCATCTTTGCACTTGTTCTTGCTGTAGATAGAAATTAAATTCTTTGCATAAGAAATATAATAAAATTTGAGTTATGAAATTACGTGTATTAATAACAAATAGATGTAATGTACTCGGTTTTGGTAGTAAACACTATTTCAGATTTGTTTGGAGACACTTTGTTCTTGAGAGATTTGATGGGAAAATCTTCAGTGTCCAAAGTGTTTTGTTCATCTATTTATTCGGTAATTTCAGTTTCCCTTAAATCCATATAAACAGAAGAGAGATTAATACATTAGTAAATGTCAGGTTATTTGAAGCTTGGAGCTTGATTGAACATCTTGTATTTTGTCGTCGAAAATCGCTTGGATCAAAAGATCATTTCTGTTGAAATCATTTTTCAAATTTCAAAATTGAAGTTGAAAATTTTTGATCTGCCCTCGACATTAGAGAATTGCATATGGTAACTCTTGTTGATCAGTAAACCTTTTTTCGACAACTAAATCATAACATGAAGTTCCAAATAAACGTTCAGCCGGTTTAGCAGTGATGATGGCACTGGTCTCATTGCTGGCGTCTTCGATAATTAAATTTACTTTGAACCTAAGTATATGAAGGATAATTTTTTTTTTTTTTTTTTTTTTTTACAGAAGTTAACGGAATGGATCATTGCTCCATGTTCTGTTAAATTTAATGATCAAAATTAACAGATGAAATCTATATTAGAGTTATAGTCCACAGATTAATTCTAAATTTAACTCAAATTAGAGTTATGTATTGACACAGCTGTATCTGGTAACCAGTTGCAATTTGGCAACCCCAAAAGTTGATGGCTTTTTTTGACTTGCTTGATCAACCTTTAAAGTAACTTCACTAGGGGCAACAAACGACTGGGATCCAAACTTCCAGTCAAAAAGCTTCAACGTATTCACTTGCTCTGCTGGCTCGGTCCAAAGACCTATTTCAATTAAATTAGAAGAATATCTTGTCTTTTAATATCAAGATTCTATAAAACTAATTTGGATCCAATTTTCTCAGTCATCCAGTAAGACGGGCAACATTCGTAATTACAACGAAACGTGAATTGAATGGTGGGAACTCACTTCTATTTGTAGAGATAAGTGCAAAAGGATAGTCAAAAGTTCACGTGTCCTTGTTTAAGATTACCTTATATTTCAAAACATAATCTTCCTGAATTTCCATGTGGGAACCTCTGTATATGTTTCTGTCAAATAAAGAACATGACAGATATGTCGTCCCTTGACAAAATCTTTTCGACGGGAAAATGAATGACGCGTTTAGGCACGATTTGACGAGTTAATTATCCTTTTATATTTAAGCCATTGATAATCTTGGGGGTAATTAATTTAGGGCTGCAGGCCATTTGGTGCACTATTAGTTTTATAATTATGAAAGAGCACGTCCCCAATACACCACATGCATTCACAATGGTGATGGTGACTTCTTACTGACATCTGTGACTTGGGCTCCAAGCGAAGCTGTCATCCACTTTTACGTTGATCTCTAAGAAAGCGAGAAAATTGGGTTAGGAGGCGAATCCAAATTGAAGAGTATTCTATTTTTCTCCCTGCAGTCCTCTTGATTTTTTTAGCTAGTCAATTGATCAAAGAAATTGATCATAGGAACAGAAACAGGGGGAAAAAAAATGTAAAAAATGCAAACAGCAACAGATGTTTGTAAGAAGTCACCATCATCATTGTGAACGCATGGTTTATCGGGGATATGGTCTCACTGTTGTTTTCTCTTTTAGCATTTTTTTTTCCTTTGTTTTTGTTCCGGAATTCTCATTCAATTTCTTTGATCAATTGACTATCAATAACATTGCAGTCCAAATAGGATAAGATTAAAGACTAGTTTACAAGATGCATGCTTTAATCTAGTCTTAGTAAAACGTAAGACCAAACCATCCTTTAGGTACCTTTCTGTCCAAATTAACACCACATGTTAGTATTATGCATGCAATTGATGTGAAATGTGAAATCTAATATTTCGGAAAGATTCCTTTCTTGATTTCAAGTCCTCATCATCATCCTAAAGAAATAGTCTTTCAAAGTTTGAACACACTTGAACCTCTCATAGAAGAAGATTCTCTACTCTCCTAATCTTTATACTATTTTATACCCTCTTATTTGAACGATCACAGTTAAGTCATGTCAATATCTTATATTGATTTTTGTTATAAACATAATAAAACAAAAAATAATATGTAAGAAGAAAGGATAGAAGGGGATATGAATAGAAAGGTCCAGTATCCCCCTCCACCATCTCGTCCTCCTCTCTCTCTCTCTCGTATGTGCAGCTGTGGTGGCCACTCTCCAGGGCTAGGGTTAATGATTGCAACTTTTACAAAAAGGGCATAGGAGACTATGGGTGAGTGGGTACCAGCGAACTTTAAGTTAAGCACATAATCTTTTCACTCTCAGACAAAATAGGTCGACTTTATCACTTGAAAAATATCTTTTTTTATTAGCCAAATATTCAATTTGTTTTTGGACAACTCGTGCAGCAAGCATTCTCATTTAATATTATTTGCCGTATTGATATCCTAATTAATTAAACATTGAAACAAACCCCCAACAATTAAATTAATTTATAAAGTTGTGATGATATTGAGTGACATGTTGATGACACTAGCTTTTGTGACGTAACATGACAATTGAAGTCAAAGAATGAATACAATTTGCTCAAGTAAACAATGAGTATTCTGTTATCACATCCAATGATAGGATAAGAAAGATTCCCAAATATCCAAAAAAAAAAAAAAAGATCCATTAAAAAAGCTAATTTAATTAATAAGAATATTGGATGGATATGATTTGGTTCATGAACTGCTTAAAAAATTGTCACACTTGAATGTACTTTTTTGCAACTTTAATTCTTGTGAATTTTTTCTGATTATTTTTTATCGAAATTACATTCACAATTCATAGATATACATAAACAATGTAAACTACCCATTAGCAAAACCTTCTTTGTCAATCAAAGGGAGAAAAGACTATATTAACTGTGTCAAACAAAATTAAATAAAAATAACTAAAATAAAAGTTATGTTAATATGGTAAATTGAACACAAAATAGTTTTTACTTTTTTTAAAGCCTCACAACCAGCATGTTTTAAAAGGCGAAAGCAAAACCAAGGCGTCTTATGAATAGCCTTGCCTACTGCCTAGGCAAAAGCCTTGAGGCTTAAGGCAAAGCCTCATGAGATCTAAAATTATTAATATATATATAGTTATATATATATATATATATATATAAGATAATCAACAATAGAGTTGAGATCAACTATTATACGAGAATAATCAACAATTAAATAAAAAAAATTCCACTATAGGTGAGAAATTCTAACTTAAAAAAAAAAGCCCCAGTTGATGTCTCAGGCACGCCTCAATCATGTCTAGGCGAGTTTAAGCTTACTCCCACTTGGAATAGGCATTTTCCTCACGCTCCACCTCAAAGGCCGCCTAGGCCAACCTCGAGGCTCATTTTTTAAAACGTTGACAGCCAAGTAAACGTATCAGTTGTCTCATTTTCTCTTTCACATTATTCTCCAAATAAAACAAATTTTTAGTGACAAATAGTTATCCGAAAACAGTCACTAAAGATATGAACAACCTTTTCAGTGACGAAAAATAGTTTGAAGGTCGTCACCAAAAAGTTCAAGGGAACATTTATATTTTCTCTGTATGTAAAATTTTCAAAATTTTAATAAACACATGCATAACATGTATACAATTGATAGTATAATAGAACGTAATGCCTTCATTCGCTTGTTATCAACCATGATTGGCCAACACAGATTTGCCGTGAAAAACCGAGCTAGTTTGGTTAAACTCATTTTTAGCACCAAATGTGTGCATAATGCATGTAGCTTGTTTC